TACGTATTAGACTTGTTTTTGTAAACTTCTAAGTCGCTCATTTATAATTCACACATGATTAATTACAAACGAAACTTAACTTCCACGTCTGAGTTTACTGATCAACTCATTAATTTGTAATTTAATTTTACTTTGGAATTAGTAAAGAGAACAGTCTTCGAAACTCATAGACATAGCATATATTAATTTTAAATTTAGATTCAAATCGGTTCCATATTTAAAATTAATTTTATTTTTAATAGCAGAATGAAAAATGTGCCAGGATCATGTTCTGCATGAGTAATGAGGTTGAAACAATTATTATAATGTTACCTATATATTGTTTTATCGTACTTTCCTTACAATAGATACTCTTATTTAGTATAAAACATCATTTTCCACGTACAATATTCTACACACAAGCATATAAAAGCGTGAATTAATTACTGGCGTCGGGAAATTTTAAAATATATTTAATCTTAAACGTCTACTTTGCATGTATTAAAGTTAATCAGCTTTGCATAAAGTTCATATGAATTTGTGATGTGAAACTTACCCAACACGCAAATGAAATTAACATACGGCACTCTGCAAGTCAAAGCTCAGTTTGGTTAATCAATATTGTTGTAGTGGTGACAAAAAAACAAGAGAATTAATTATATTCATATTTATAGTTTATTAATTAAAAAATATTTATTTATAATACGGCACTCTGCAATCAAAGGTCCTGTTCCGCGGAGGAGGTAGATTAGAGCAGCAGGTTAGAGTAGAACGCACGTTCGTATTCGAAAAAAATAAATAAAATAATAAATCGTATCCTATGTCCGTCTCCTGGCTCTAAGCTACCTCACCAATTTTCAGCCATATCGGTAAAGCCATTCTTGAGTTATAAATAGTGTAACTAACACGACTTTCTTTATATATATATAGACAGGAATGTTTACATGGATGTTTGTTTGAAGTTATATCGTGGTTAACGTTGAAGATGTTAAAAATAAAACATTTTCAGGACAGCATGTAAATATACGTACCCACTCTTATGAAATATCACAGTAGCTTTATTTCCATTAAAACAATAAATTGCTCAAGAAATATGCAGAGCTCCAAAGGTACCGTAGCATTTTATTGTTGCTCTCAGTAGCAACGCTGTAGCATTATTTAGAATTATACTCTGGAAAATTAGAAAATAAACCAACTCGAGCGTGAAATAAAGCACTTGAATAGATACTTGGCTTTGGGACGTTGGTCACTTGTTGAAAATGTTGATGCAATATTTGATGATTAACTATTTCTTTTATTAAATATTTACTTCAATTCGAATTTGAATATAACAAATTTATAAATTAATTATTTTTTTTTTAAATCTTTAAAGTATACTCGAAGATTTCCATATGCAGTTTTATATATACGTAATTTACAAAGGCCAAAAATATTTTTTTGGTCCAAATAATTAAAAGTTGTACGACCTTGTATAATAACATTTTCTTCCAACTGCCTACATTAGAACCTTTTGTGTGATATACTAATTTATAAATGCAATATTCACAAAGCACAAGTCAAACAATGAAAACTCAAGGGACTTGTTGAAACATGCTTTATTGAAAGCAAGCAGAGTGTCGTCCTATTTTTCAAACGTGTCTGTTGGGAGAAGTGAAATTTTCCGAGGCGAGGCTTCACGCCGTGCATCGCGAAAAATAAAGCTGCCGCCTTTCAGGAAGCGTCTATTGCATGTTTATCTTTGAAATGATCTCATGAATTCTTAATCTTTGCGAGAGTTGTAAGTGTGCTTTCGTGATTTCGATTCTTTATAAATGTTTATGTTTCTTTTGCTTGTTTCACTTTCACAGATATATGCAAATGGTGTGTACAAACATAGATTCACAGAAACATAACTTTTTAAATTAAGATGTGATATTTGGGTTCCTACTAGACTTTATAGGTATTGATAAATTAAGCATAATCTAGTTTAGTTTATTAGAAATGTTTGTTTGCTGGCCTCAAATCACTTTCAATATTATATGGAAAGTTTAGCAGTGTTCTGGCTCTATTATATTGGGGATATATTATATTACTTTGAAAAGATTTGTATAGAGTCAAATTTGTTTAAATAGAAAAGGTTCCGAGAAACCCTTTGATAACCGTATGATATACGCGTACATTTTGTGTCTTAATAGATTTCAATGGAAATGGAATAATATAAGCTAACGAGATGAATAGAAAACTTTCAGAGAAATACACTTAAAAGAAAATATTTTTTTTAAATCTTATATAAAAAAATTCGTGTCACAATGTTAGTTACCATAATCCTACGGAACGGCTTGATCGATTTTTATGAAATTTTATATGCATATTCAGTAGATTTGAGAATAGGCTAATCCCGAGCGGATGAAGTCGCGGGCAACTACTAGTTTCTTATAAAATATAATTTTATCTGATAAACTTGAAGGTTTGTAATATTACATTTTATGTATAGTTGTAGTTGTTAATAGCCCCTTTACCGTGGTATCGTAAGTATTCTGCTGTTGACATTATTAACTAAATATATTTTCATTAAAATTCACTTTAGCGAGAATATGGTAATTAACTGCATTCACTGCTGCAGTGTGTAAGCTTGTAACTAACTTTCGTTGAATTTATGAGCATGCAAATGAGACCTAAACTCCTCAGCCTTTCCTTTCAACACACCATTGAAACAGCGCTGTCTGAGATTTATGTGTATATGTTAATTTTATTTTAGATTCGCATTGATGAATAGACTCTAGATTAGACAACTGTAAACTGAATTTATGGATTAATGTTATTCTATTTTTGATTTAAAATGGAAATAAAACTTCACAAAAACTTTTTATTATATGAAATCTATAATAACTTCTAATCGAATCGAATCGAATCTGATCTGATCTGATCTGATCTGATCTGATCTGATCTGATCTGATGTGATCTGATCTGATCTGATCTGATCTGATCTGATCTGATCTGATCTGATCTGATCTGATCTGATCTGATCTGATCTGATCTGATCTGATCTGATCTGATCTGATCTGATCTGATCTGATCTGATCTGATCTGATCTGATCTGATCTAATCTAATCTAATCTAATCTGATCTAATCTAATCTAATCTCATCTAATCTAATCTAATCTAATCTAATCCAATCTCATCTAATCTCGTCTCATCTCATCTCATATCAACTCATCTCATCACACCTCACCTCATCTCACCTCATCTATCACACCTCACCTCATCTCATCTCATATCAACTCATCTAATCTCGTCTCATCCCATCTAATCTAATCTAATCTAATCTAATCTAATCTAATCTAATCTAATCTAATCTAATCTAATCTAAACTAATCTAATCTAATCTAATCTAATCTAATCTAATCTAATCTAATCTAATCTAATCTAATCTAATCTAATCTAATCTAATCTAATCTAATCTAATCTAATCTAATCTAATCTAATCTAATCTAATGTATAAAAAGTATAAAAAGTAAAGTAGAGATGGATGAATGGATAGATGTTTGATAGAAGGTATCTCCGGTACGGGTCAACGGATCTTGTTGAAATTTGGTACTGATGTACACATGTCATAACTTAGATGTAGTTAGGTAACGTAGTCTGGAAGGACACATAGGCTACTTATTATTATTTTTTTTTAATTTCGCACGGACGGTGTCGTCAGTTACAGCTAGTAAGCTATATTTAGATATTTTACATATATTCATGTAAAGTAAATGATTTCGGGTAAAATAATTTCGATGAACCACAGCCTCTCAATCACCATTTTAGTAGAGACATTATTAAAGTGTAGTCATATAGCTATTTATATTAAGAAACTAGCTGTCGCCCGCGACTCCGTCCGCGCGGGATCAAAAATAGATGTTGGCCGATTCTCAGACCTACTCAATATGGTCACAAAATTTCAATAGAATCGGTCAAGCCGTTTCGGAGGAGTATGGGAACAAATATTGTGACACGAGAATTTTATATGTAAGATATAATGTTATTAATCGCGTAGTCAAGCATTATAACTTTTCCTTTATAACAGTAGCTTGTTCTTAGTTTAACCATTTTCTTATCTTGTACATATGGTAGCGTTAAATAACACGTTTGTATTCATAAAGTGCTCGCAAGTTGAGAAATATTTTATGGACACGAACATTTTTCCTCCAGTAAATCATACGCCAAACATTTTCACTTGACCATTGCCCAAACACCGCGACGCCGCGCCATGAAATATTCATAGCTGTTTAAGGAAGTAAGACGCATTGCTTTGTAAAGTTTGTTTTGTACTTTTTTATCTACATCGAATAGAAAATGACAGATTATGTGTGAATTTGATTAAAAGGAGATATGATTTTTTAGACTGGTAAACTTATTATGGTCTTATCTTTATACCACTGTATACGAGGTCGGCGGACTAGGTTTCCGTCGTCTAGATAGGGCTGTCATTTCAGTCTACTAATTATAGAGTTACTACTTACTGAAATATTAGATCTTTAGGTTACAAAGAAAATGAAACAAACACGATAATTATTTTGGTTTATTTTATTATAAACTTCACAATTTTAAACAAATAACATTTTCATAATCTTTATTTATAATTTGTTATATTTCTTAAATAAATTTTTCAATTAATTAACTATTGTTTTTTTGTACATTGTCCCCACTTAATTTACAAATTAATTTGTTTTAAAGGTATTATAAATTGGTTCATATAATTTACATTTCAAAATAAAATTGTTTGCATTCTTCGTATAGGTTAGTTAAAAGTTATCTACATTTTCTAAACATTTTAAATACTTATTAAGAATATTAGGTATTTTACAATATCTTTATGTTAAACTATTTAAACTTTCGTGAGACATTATACAAAACTGATATAAAAACGGCTGAACACTCACGTATATTCGTCTGGTAGCGGCACCGACTAGTTTCGAGCCAATCGGGGGCCCTTCATCAGAATGAGTGGTACTGGTATTATTTCGCAGACGCATATACGTGAGCGTTCAGCCGTTTTTACATCAGTTTAATATATTTATGCTTAGAATTAAACTACACAATGAATCTCACATTTTACAAATACACATCAAATTGCGGTCATAACTTTTCTTAACTGTATCGTAAATGGCATCATTATTTATATAGAAATGATCGATCGACATTCCAACAAAACACTCAACGTGGACAAATGCCAAGTCTATAGAGATTTAGATAGTAACTCAAGTGCCAAATCGCAAAACGTTGAATGGCCCTATAATATATAGCGTCGACGATAGATAGAATATTAGAATAGTTTTATCCACTGAACATTTCGCTGAGCTCTGTTGCATGGCGGCCGGGTGTTCACCTAAAAAGAAACATTTATTTTATGTTAAGAATAGTTGTAAAGTTTGTATTTTGAATGAAAATAATATGATTTAGCTACGAATGAGAAAGTTTTATGATTTTATAAAAGATCATTTACACATTACAAGTTAAATAAACTCAGTTCAATGAATTACATTCGCGAATGGAGTTTTTGATGAAAACAGAATATTTAGGAACTCATGAATATCAGTTTTAAGTCTTATAATATTTAAGAATGCTCCAAATAATAAAAAAAAACATTTAGCCATACCAGTGTCATTACTTTCAATATATAACCTAGGATATATTCAGTCTATTTGAACAAAAAGGCTGTTGACAGACGAACGGACGGAAAAAAAAGTGATCCTATAAGGGTTCCGTTTTTTTCCTATGAGGTACGGAATCCTAAAAACGAGGCTTTGGCTAGTAAAAAATAAAACAATTAAATATTAATATTGACCTCTTACCGGAGAGAACATGGACTCTGGTAGAAGCCGGCGGTGCGTTGTTAGGACCGCATGTGTAGACGCCGGCGTCTGCGCCCCTGGCTTGTTGTACAAGGAGGCGACTAGTGCTGCGTAAGCCTTTTTCAGTTACCAACGAAATACCACCTCGTGCTGAGTCAAAATTTATAACCTAAAATAATTACAAGAAAAAAAATGTTACTTTATTGTTAGAAATTCAGTATTTTCTTATTTATATATCTTGTTTTCTTTTTTTCGTTTTTTTATTATAGTATTTTTGAGAACATCGAAGAAGGAAATCATCGTGCTGCAACCTGCACATATCTGAGAATAAATTCAAAGATATGTGTAAAGTCAACCAACCCGCACTTGGTCAGCGTGGTTGACAATTGATAATCACCCCTAACTTAGGGTAGGCTTCGAGCCTCTCGGTGGGGACGTTTAGTGAGCTGATGATAACATCTTTAAAACACTGACCAAAAAGACTATGTTTCTTGTCAAAAATAACCAAGCCATGCTAACATCTGGTACGATTTCCAGAATTTGGAACTTATATTTCATACATTTTGTGTTTCACCACAACACGAAGTATATTTGTCATTTTAGATATGTTATAAAGTTTATTCGTACAGCTGCAGTTTGCCGCATCGTAGCCAAGATACGTGAATCTTCTGGCTTCATTTCATTGTTTCGCTAATGGTCGCAGGATACTTTCCAGTTTTTCCGGACATTTACAATGTATCGTGTTTTTCACTCCTTCATACGTGTAGCTAATGTACTTGTAGGATAGCATTTGTTTTTAAGAAATGTTTGAAATTTAAATTCTTTTGTTTTATTGTAATTTAAGTCGCAATATTATTCTATCCTCAAATCTCTAACCGTGGATTTCCGAGTCGAATTTCAGTCAATTTTAAAACATATTATTATATCAAGGATATACTTTATTGGTATTAAAGCCTACGGTAAGCGAAAAACATAATAGCTCTATTTCTTTGCAATTATTATTTATTTAGGTGTAAGGCAACTGTCCCTTACAGACGCTTACCACGTGTTTCAAACAAATCGCTAAAGCACAATTATCTTAGTATAACAGACGTTGGGAGGTCGAACATTAACAATCTGATAAGTAGATATGTCGTATTTTTTAATCAAATATTATTGATGAAGAGACATGTCTATGATAACTTGCCTATCGAAGAGTAACTTTTTTAATTAATTTTCTTACATTAATTAGAAATACGTCACTTAATATTGTTAAATTAAAATACAAATTTACGAATCGAACTATTTAAAAGTGAATATATAAATTTCTTAAAAAATAAAAGTTAAAATGTAACAGAATTCTGAATTAAAGCGACGGTTTTTTTCGTAGGTTTTCACTCATTTTTTAATCAGAATGTTTTGATAAGCTTATAATACACCGGCGTGGGTTGACCTGCATGAATCTAGGTATAAATGTTGGCCTAGTTAAAATAGATTGCTGTTTAATTTACCTGCTCCCCGTGTGTCCACGTAATAGATGTGGGTGGCTCGGGAGTATGTTTCACTATGCAAGTGAGGTTGATCGTTGAGCCCGCTTGGATGAAGAGTTCTGCGCCACTTGATATCACCGTTTCTGGTTCTAAACCGAAGAAATAAAAATATTATAAAATTTTATAAATTACTTAAATAAAAAAAACTTTTGCTGCCGATCTCATCGGGCGGCTTAGACTTACTTCTGAATAGTTCTATATGCTCTTGAGACAAAAATCCCCCGTAAAATTCTAGTTATGTGCTACTCCAAATCGTAATACGAATGCCTTAAAATGTTCAGGGTTTACTTGTTTCTTACCTACAATATTGAGGAACACAGCATGTCCTATAGGAGGAGTAGTGGAGATCTGACATTCATATTGTCCCGAGTCACGTCGCTGCGGACTTCGAATACGCAACGCCCATTCCTCGGAGCGTGGTTTGTGTTGTGCCTCGAACCTCTGGTCTGATGTATACGTATAACGGCCAACTGTTAGTAAATGGATGTCACGGTGACGTACCCATGATACCTGGTAATAGATAATAAAATATAACAAAGCGTTGGAAATAATTACAATAAAATTATTTATTCATTTTAGTATATTTCCTGGAACTTACTCATTAACAATATTACTTTTAAATTTTTAATTACAAACTGATTGAAGATTTTATTACCATAAAGTCGTTTAAAGATACTACTCTTATACGACTATTTATCATTTTAATGGTTTTAAATAAAGGAGTTTTGTTTATTATTTATTTAACAAAAATCAAACAAATTAGGCAACAAGAACGTAGTCAATTAGACCTTACTCATGAATTTAATTAACGATAATTAAGCGCGACATCTTTTAACGTAAACACAAAAATAAAACGGCAATTCCTTAATTATGTCAAGAGTAAAATAAGGGGCCATTTATCTATTTAAGTGCGAACGAAACTAAAGAGACACGCTCATCGCTCGGCAAAAACAAAATTAAGAGATACAATATTACTCAGCCTGCTTTGCTCGAAGTGTAATTGCTGTCTGTACCAAGGAGCACTTAACTAACGAACTGGACCATTTAGCAGCTCTGAAGACGCTTTAATTTCAATGGCCTGTGAAATACTGCGCACCAAAATGAATTCTTGCAAAATTCGATTTTAATAAACGATGAAATTCCAAAATCAAATTTCTTTTAATTACAAAATAGTGATCAAATTATTTACTAAACGAGTACAATATTTATCAAACAATAATTTTAGAATGAAAACCTTTTACAATCAAACAATTTCGCAGGCGATGGAACGGTTTCTATACATACTTAGGACCCCATTTATTTGTATAATCTTAATATATTTACAATATATTTCAAAACATAAAAATTTTGAAGTTTACACCTAAAATGCTATTCGATTATTTTAATAAATTTTAAAGGATACTCACAGTTCTGTTTTGTAAATTTTTAACTCTGCACAACAAACGTACTGGGTGGCCAACCAGCCCTGTAATATTACGAGGTGTGTTTGGATCGAAGTATGGTGCGTCTGCTGCTTCGTGCCATTCTTGTAGGAATTCAGCACGGAATCTTCTCGAAGAAATGTCCATAGTTGATGTATCTGAAGGTGATTCAGTTCCGGAATCAGCTGTCAGATGAAATAAATTACAATTAAACAGTTTTTTTCTTAAACTAATTCAACGATTACTCTCGAGTTAATTGATTTTTAACAAAACTAGTTTCTAGAAAGTCTGTTTTGTAATAAAGTATTATTTTATATACATGGTGTTGAATTTGTCAGGAGGTTTGGTTAAATAAAATACTTTTATAATAGATGTGTGTGTTAGGAAATGGTTGTTACTAAATATACTATTCTTTTACTCTGGAAGTCAACTTCGTACGAGTAAACAATTGTTTGCCTAAGATGCCGTAAGAGGCTTACTTTCAGAGCATTATGTTCATAGAAGAAAGCACTTATGTGATTTTAAACTGTTATACGTTATACAGCCAAGTAACATTTATTTTTATAAAACTAAATTTATTCAATTGCTTTGTCAATAAACCTATTGAACTAAAGCAGCATTTTAGTGTCCAAGTTGTAATTTTAAACTTGTTTTATTAAAAAAATTTGCTCCTTGCAAACTAAACATAATTTTCCACGAGAGCTTTCCTTGTCATATTGTTTGATAACTTCATTTTTAAATTTTATATTCCAGACATTACCCTCTTAAGCGGACAAAAGGATGAGCTGTTCAGACTTTTTAGCAAGTCGAGAGTTACAAAATGTATCCTTATTCGTTGTGCACTTAATACCTTTGGTTTATGTTTAAAACAACTTTACTTTAATAATTTTATTTAAGTTATACATGTTACTCTAATATCCAATTGAAGCTGTAGGCATGTATAATTAGAATTGAACTCGAAAAGATTTCTCTTAAAAGTAATATTTTTTCTAAAAGAGTTTTTAAGTTATTTCGTTAGTCTAGTACACTCTATTACCTAGACAGTATTAGATAGAATTATTTGGTGCGAATGACGTGCTTTCGTTCCAAAGTCTGGTGTCAGAATGAATGTGAGGGGACATAAACGTCGACATTTTAGTAAGGCTATTGTTGAGTCAATACACCGGCTCATTTTCGGATTTTCTTCTTAACAATATAAAGAAGGTTATAATAGTATATCTTACCAGTAAAAATCACAAATCCATGGAGAAAATAAAGCCATATTGTAGTCTTCACACCGCTGACGCCTTGACCCATTATTTAGAAAAAAATTGAAGTCGATGCTGCAAACGGTAAAAACGTTTAATAATACGTATAAAAACTTTTTCAATAAAAACCATTTGACACCATAAAGTCTGAAAAATATTATTAAGAAGCTAGATTAAATCTATAAAAATATGTTATTCGCATAAACGCCAAAAATATGTTTTAGCTACTATTAAAATGTCATCAATGCCCTGTCAGTTTTTTTATAAATGGTTCTTGAGAACAGCTGTAACGAAAAGCACTTTTGGCAAGCCTCGAGTTTTAAAGGCTTAAAGTTAGCCTGCCACTTTATAATTAGATTCAAATCTTTGCTTACATAATTAATTTATACTTAAAAATGGAACGAAGAAAGGAATATTTTCATTATTTACTTTCATTTGTTTTATCAATAGATTCGTGAATGAAACGGATTTATTTTAAATGAACACGAAATGTTTATCGTAATTTTGAAGGCGAATATTATGATGATAATTATAACACTCCAGCTTTGTAACTTAATGACGTCACCGTAAAATGATAAGGTTATTCAATTATTTGTTATTGTCGGTAACCACGCGACGAGTTGACATCTTAGCAAATAAAGTTAAAGCGTTGCGTGTTACGGTATATTTTGATAGCGGATTATAAGTCTATTTACGTAGGCACAAAGTACAAAAATAGGGTATAAAAAGTTTTTTTTTTTTTCACTTCGACCGTAATTTAAGACACATCAAAGATAATATATTAAGCATGGATTAAAGATAATATTTGATATAAAGCGTGCACAAAAAATATATCACGGATTTTTGTATTATCGGATTTCCGGATCATTCTTCCGACAGAAATTTATATGAAATGTTTACCCTTCGGAAGTATTTTATTTGTACATTTTTGTACAAACGATAAGTACACAAATTTCAACGATCAAATAGCTGATATTATCAACGATCAAATAGCTATATATTAGCTTAGAACTTTAACAGTGGTAGAGCCCGCTTTAACATCTTCGCACGAATTGGCCCGGTTCGCCCGGTGAAATACCACGACCAAACAGAAGACAGGCGTGAAGTGGAAGTTATTCTGCGTTTCGTCTGATGAGTGTGCGTCCCGGAGGCCTAATTTATTCTTTTTTCCCTTTCCACCCTTTTTCTTATAAGGAAGGGATGGGAAGTGGAAGTGGACTTTCCGGATGAGAGGATGTATGGGAAGGGAAAATATTTTCTTTCTGTGCATCCACTCCTCCGTCGATTAAAGGTAGGCAATGCATATGCAATTGCATATGTCTATGAGCAATGGTCACTTCGCTATTTTAGTGATTTCAGTTCGCCGTTCGCTCGTTTGCCACCTTAAGATTAAAAAAAATGCAAGTTATATAATCTCTCGATATTTTGCCAAATAATTTTCATAACTTGAAACAGTTGTGGGTCGGTCAAAACTAATTATTTACCCTACAAAGTTAGAAACGAATGTTATGCTGATAAAAAGTGATATGTTCGTTAAAACTAAGTTCTAACAGTCATCGCAAAAAGTTGTAACTACTAAAATTAATTATTAAAGTTTGCCAGTCTTTAACCATAACCTTCATTGTTGTAAAAGCGAATTATGCGAAAATAAAATAGACATAAAATGTGTTAAAAACGGCTTTGTTTATCTTTTTTAGGGTTCCGTACCTCATAGGAAAAAAACGGAACCCTTATGCCTGTCTGTTAAAACCCTTTTTCTCAAAAACGCGTGAATGTATCAAGCTGGAATTTATTTTTTATACTTGGAATAATAGTATTACTGTAAAAGTATTGTTTTACTCATCTTTATCAATTATATTTAAGGGCTAGACAACTTTACTTAGGTATGTAAAAGATCACATAAAAAAAACACGTACAATGTGTTGAATCAAACCTGAACTGTATGTATGAAAAATGTATGAATGTAGAAAAAGCGAGAATGCTGTGTAAGGCCTGCGACAAACGGAATTCCGTGATCTCTGTCTACCCCGCCCGGTTACGGGTGTGAGTTGTATTGTTGTTGAAGTATACGCTGATAAAACTGTTATTTTTTAATTAACACCTTCGCAATCTTGGTCTTCGTTTTTTCTTCTGCTTTTCTTGTAAAAAGAATCCTAGACGATCATCCGTTTAAACGACGATAACAAAGATAATATTGACTTTACGGAAGCCAAAAGTGGCTTTTGAAATTTATACTTCATTACAATTTCAGCGTGAAACGTTAATTCCCTATCCATAAGGTTGACAAATTAATAAAATAATTTTTAGTACAATGTTCAATCTGCCGCCGCATACGAATAATTCATCGCTTTATAACAATCGAGGCCATTGTCGGTCGTTTGACAGAATGAGTTCGGGGTTACCAGAGCTCTCCGTGTCTGGCTTTTATTCAATTTACAATACCGGACATAATGGTACAATAAGATATCTCTAGTTGACATGATCACCTTATTGCGTCTCGGGAAGATTAAAAAAATAGATGTAAATTCTCGAATTATTTAAATATTTAAACACCAGCCACGCATCTGCACCTTCTCTAATGTTGCGGATGACTATACCGGGCGTAGATGTTTTCTTACTTAGTTATCGATATCTTTAATTTGCCTCAGCGATTCACTAATAAATAAAATAAAGCCTTATTAAACTTGTAGTATATTATTTTAAAGAAAAATCAAATGTACTTTCGTTCAAAGGTCAGCTGTTTCTTAGCTCGACAAATGGGAATAACAAAGGAATATTCCAATTTATTTCAGGAAGCCCGTCGACAAAATGATCAGCAGAATGAAACGGTTACTTATATTGGAGCCAATTGTTCTCATGGCTACTTCCAAATTATTATTTATTCTTATGAAATATTTGAGCTAAAGCCAAGACTTCTTTTGTTATGAAAACATGGTTGAATAAGATGTATGATTCGGTGTTTTCGCATATTATTACCACAAACATAACAAGGAACTTTTGTGTTATGTAAATATTAAGTTGAATTGTTAGCTGTTGAAAATTACATTATTTTTCTATCGTATTGTTAAGATAAATTTTATGGATGATGAATGTTTGTTATTCTATAATAAAACTATTGACCTTTGACTAAAACATTACCTTACTAAAATATAAATACACTTCAGAACAACAAAATCCAGGTGCGTACAAGTATACTGCCGCACAATCGGCTTTTGAGCTTTAGAATTATAAGCCGTTGTGTGAAATAAATATCACACAACAAAACTATCAAAATAATCTTAAAGCATTCTCGTACTTCAATTGTTTTGAAGAAACGCTTCGAGCACATTGACAGCTCAATTTTTATTTGCAATAAATAATACTATAAAATTGTAATTTGCAAGTAACCAAGAGTAAGTTGTACAGCCCTGAAATCATTATAAAATTGTATCAATAGTATGGGCACCATTACATATTATATTTACGTTTCGGTACTTGCAAAATATCTTTAATTTTTATTTTTTTGAACCAAGACCGAAATGTGAGTTGTCACTACAGAAATACATCTCTAAATCAAAGTGTTTTTTTTATTAGAGAATTAAAGACAAAATCAATGAGTTATTGCAATAGAAAGTTTCGTCAACAAAGAAATAATTTGAAGGTTATTTATGCATGACTAAAATACAAAAACATTGTCACACATCGCTTTACATACCGTGTCTGAACGTGTATGATTCAATTAGGCTAATGGAACAAAACACCAGAATTTACCTGATACGTTTAATGCGACGCTCAACTGGGATACGTAACGTGTTTGGATATTATGTTACAATTTAATTAAAATATATGTTCAGTCGCTAAATGTTTCGTAATGGAATATCATATGTACTAAATCAGGTAAATGTTCAATGCATCAATTTAGTAAAATCAACGATGCTAAAGTAATATTTCAAGTTTACACTAATTAAAGATTTAATATTCCGTCATCACGTTGTCTTCTTCTTTTTAAAGTACCATTACAACTTGACACCGCGGCTCTCTAAAGCGAACGGATACTCTTTCCGAACCACTGGCGTAGGTTCTTAAGCCAGGATATTTGTCTACGACATACATTTTGCTTTCTAAATTATATTTTTTACTCGACACTTTAAAATTTCAATATTTGCATTTTGTTTTAAATTAAAAAATAATTGACTTAAAAACCGCTTTTCTCGAACCCTTAAATACTTTAATAATCAAATGGGAGTAAATAATAATGAAACAAGAGAAACCATATTATAAAAAATGACCCAGCCGCTGATTTCCTCAGTATAATTGTATCTATGAATAACATACAGGTCGGTGTGATTTTGAAAGACAGATATTTGTATGTAACCAAACTCTATTTACTTAAATTCATACGTAAGCAGCCAAAACAAATATCCTTTGTGCTTCACGTTATAAACGGCTCTTCTAACTACACAAAAGGGACAAGACGGGTCAACATGAAATATTTATTCTATTCCAACAAAATGATGAACTGTAAGCGGATTATGAGTTTTGATACTTTTTACATGTATTTATCCATTATAGTTCTATGCGTAGATAGTCGGACATCATGTTGAATGTAGAGTTAAAGTTAAACAAAATTATCTAACTTTATTTCAAAGATATGAAGTCAATCATTTTGCACTGGCTAGGATCATTGAGTAAGGCCTAGTCGACCTTCACTTGGATTGGCTCCGTATTTTAGGACATGAATAAGCTGACAATAATTTCTAAAATTTTCGAATTATTCGTTTGACTATTGTCTTGTGTTTAAATTGAGACGCCATCCCACAATCTACGATTAGATTATTTGGTTAACCGCTGGGAGTCACATGTCCATCTATGTTGTAGCAAATCGACAGACACTAGTCAGTCGTCCAATTAACAAGACGCCTCCAGTGTTTTCTTATCGGATTGACTAACCACTGATTCAAATAGTTCAATCAAATAGTTGTTAGATGGAGCGATGACCTGGTCAAGGTTGCGGGACCGTCATGGATGCGGGTGGCACAAGACCGGTCATCGTGGAGACCTTTGGGGGAGGCCTATGCCCAGCAGTGGGCGTCTCATGGCTGAGAAGAAGATATTAGATTAAAAATACGTAAGTCGGGACAAGATGTTACATCGACGTTAGGAAGAAAAAAATAAAAATTTGTGTAGTAATTGTTAAGCGAAACAAAAGAAAGGTGAAAAGAGGATTCGTGTAACCAAACTGACATTCGGTAAGCGATAACGGTATTCGATAAAATGTGTCAAACTGTATAGGAATAAATACCTGGCAAACATATGACATATTGAAAGCTATTGTCGGTCATATTATTAACTTTTCCATTACCAATATTGGTAGTAGAATGTAACTTTGTGTAGGAGGCTGGACAAATTGATATTGTATTTGTAATTGTCTTGCGTAGTGACGTACAATATTGATGGAAATTTCGTCGCATATTTTAAATAAAGCAGAACCCATTAGGCACATTTGCCCTACGGTGACATTGCACATTACACTTCTTCGTTCAATGTTATTAATGGAGATGACCTTTTAAATATTAGGTATATATCAAACATTATAATTTTGTTATTTATAAATTCGTAAAAAGTTTGTCAATATAATAACTTTTTTCAAAAACCTAACCTCAATTAAAAAACAATTAAAGAAACAGCGCCATCTGTTGGCTGATTTTTTAAAGAAAGATTTTTTTATTTAAACGAAATAAATTCTGACGTTATACAAATGTCTCGTGCACAGTTTTATTTCTTACAAAAATTGATTTAGCTACGTAAAAAAGTTGTGACGAGTGAGATTCGAACTCGATTTTCATCACTAATTTAGGATTTCACTTCCTTCATGACATATGTTCTGTGCCGATGTAATATACTCTATGCCACTCCGAGGAAGAAAACAAATCTAATTACGCTCCCTTCAAAATCGGTTCAGTCGTTTAGGCTCCGGGGCGTGACAATGTAATTAACATACATACAAATACACATACATAAAAATTTAAAAAAAGATTACGCGCGAAAAACAATTACCTGTTTGTCATTCGGGTTATAATTAGGGAAGATCTTGATTACAAAAGCTCTAAATAAAAAACCATCTTACTTTAAGTAACTAGTTTTAAAATATAGACGACAAACTACATAGTTATTAAACATTCCTCGAGAAATGCAAAAAATAAATGTATTGAAAAAAAAAACATTAAACAGTTTTAAAAGTTCATATATTAATAATATCTAAAATATTCTTTTTTAGTTATAACAGAAATGCAATGATTGCTAATTTATTTTATTACAACTTCTCTACTTACCTAAACACTAAAGAAAACAAACTTGTTTCTTGTCACGATAGAAGAAGCGCGAAATAAAAACATTGATGTAAAAGTTTGTTTCGCAAAAATTTGAATAAGCAATTTACTCTCACTTTAAACTTAAGTAATGTTTGTAGTGTATAAATCAATTAATTATTATTTGACAGAAGGGGAGAGTGGGGTGTGTTTGATCGCGCGGTGACGCGGGCCAGCCGTGGCGCGAAGGCAAGTACTGCGGGGTCTGTGTACCTCCCACACCGCGTTTCCCCGCGCGCAAGCGCTACGCCTCACACGACGTTCGTTCCTTAAACCGCACATTTTTCTCGCTCCCAGCTCCCAACTAAATTGCAAAACCGCGGACCCGCCGAAAGTATGAAACGGTCGCTAGGGATTCACTTGCTCCGAAAATATTTACAAAGAAAACAGAATTGAAATGGAGTTCTCTTGTTTTCTGGCTAATTCACCAGCTGACTAATCTCTTCACATTTCGTTTATCTTTTTAACACAGTGAGAATTTTCAGTTGTTCTTGTTTTATTTTTTTTTTCTACGGTAACGATACAAAATTTAAGTATTAAAACGACCAAATACATTTAATCATAATGAACGAATTGTGACAAAATGTTGGAAAAACAAATAAAGTTCTAATAAAAGATGATATCCTAACAATTCAATTTTTTAATTATTAATAAAAGCTTATAATTTTTTTTCAGTAGTTTTATTTCCGTAGTTTGAAATATTTTCTAAGTAAAAATTAATAATGTCGCTAATTAAACGTGATTAAAGAAAGTAATTCATATCGTTGGAATTTTAATTTTGCTTACGTGAATTAATAGTGCGAATATTTCAAGAGTAAAAACGTGTCACGTAGCATTACTCCTCTCCCTAGAGATTCTACAAGGCCAGGGCGTGCCATTAAACTGTAGAAACCTACTAACGATGCGACAAAACTAAAAATATTAAAAAAAAATAAGTTCGTAAGTCATATTATAGGGTGATAGAATAGGCTCTGTATGTACTACTCCACACATTTATATCAGCCGTCTATTTAGAATTTCCTCTTTTTAGACATTTTCTACGTCATTATATCAGTACTTTTTTCAGTCTTTTTCTTATCATCCCTGCATGTGTCATAAAATAAACAACAAAGGGTAAGTTCGACATTAGAAAATAAACACATATGTGCATGGTTTAAAATTTGGAATATATATAATAGAATATAACACACCTTGCATGTGATAAAAAGTTGGTATATTGACCTAATTTGGTACGTAATAAATATGAGTAGGGGTCCGAAAATATACAAAGTTCTGCCAAAATTATGAACGAGGAAATTCGTTATCTCTACAACGCGAAACAATAAGGTCGGTAGGGATAGACTCGACCACAATTAGTAAACAAGAAGCTTTCTCACAGTGTTGTATTAATAATTAAGTGGCGTTATAAATAGCATTTTAGTTTTGAACTAAAAAAAAATAGCAATCATGCTAATACTAGTCAGAATCTAATTTAATTGTTTTATTAATTTACTTTAAATTTTGTGTGATAAATCTTGCCATTTCAAACAGAATATCGATATCGATATATCGATGACTATCTTATTAGAGCAACCCTATTTGTTACCTAATTTCAGGCTAACATCGACTGCATCGCAATAAGTAAATTGTTAGCTTACCCTAGATTCCATTTTCTAATGTTGAAATCGAAAATTATTAAAAAAATATGTTAAAAGTAGGTAAATACTCTACCATATCATAAACATTACACGGTGTTTTAAAAAAAAAAGTTGAAAATAAAAAAAAATATCTTTTTCATTTTCTCTTTTTTCCTTTTCAATATCTTATTGTAAGAATTGCTAGGTTCTTTCGTACAGTACTTACTTACAGCAACTTTACTTTGAATTGAAAATATAAGAATGTCGGCAACCATACTGCGGGCGATTTTAATATTCTTGAATAACAAAAGAATCTATCAAACCGTAGTACTTTCCTTTCTTTTATTAAGCGTGGCAATTAATATCGTGATTACTATTCCGCTGCCCGATTAAAATGAGAATTTTTAATGTTTAAAAATATATTTTTCGGTTCAATATTATTTTTATAGATTTTGTAAATGGTTCAATGTAGAAAGTAAAATAGATTATAAATTACAAGGAATATGTCTTCATTTAACACGATCAATGCAACTACAATTTTCACGCAGATACGAAGAAAAAATTGGTGGCAATGAACATGTTTCAAAAGTTTTATTCTTTAAATGGTGGTTATGTTTTAACAAGGTTGTAATAAATTTCGTGAATTATCAAACATTAATACTTTTGCAATTGCTAGTGAATTACAAAATAGCAAATTTCAGGAACAGTTTAGTGATCAGGTTGACCTTAAACGTAAATTACTTACTAAAAATCAAAACCAAGATTCTGCTAAATTGACCCCCAAACGCCGCTTTATTAATAAATGTTACTTGACGTAAATTTTAAAACTGTTAAGAAATTTGAATAGTCTTGACAAATGACGTTAAAATTAGGGGGGTGACCCAGTGATAATGTCGCTTGTAACAAATGGGGCCCTGTTCTGCACCGAATGGCTGTCTTGTACCGAACTATGATTACCATATACTATTGCAAAGTGACACTATCGTGCGAGCGATGCGAACAACATGCACTGACACCTCTCATAATATATAGCTTAAGTGTAGACCCACTCAAACCCACCATTTTTATGCTGTCGAATATCCTATTTCTAAAGACAGTGATTTACGATGATGGAATTGCCTAATTTGCTAAATTGCTATTGAAAATAACAATGTAGATGTTATATGTACTTTAAAATATGTTTTATTATTACACTAAAACGTTCTCTCCGGAAGGCTGTGTCCTATAGGATTTGAAGAAATAGGAAATTGATTTCTTGTGTTACAAATTAATAGAGATCTTGGCTTTACAATAAGTAATTAAAAAATAGTATAAGTTTTTTTTTTGCATTGAATCTCAAATAAAATTGATTTACTACCTATTATCATTATTAGCTTAGTATTTAAAAAATCAGGCAACTTATAATGACCCAGTTTTCGCATGTTACAAACTCAATTAGTTCGTTGAAATACGGAAAGGCATAGAAAAGGCTTCCCACTGTACATGGCTCGTTAGTTCTGTAACGACAGAGCTACGTGTAGCTTGTTTACTTGCCTGCTCCAAGATACAAAGAAGCGATTATTTAATTAGACATAGATTTACCTTAAATAGAAGGAGGTGGCTTTCATTGATATGCTTCAGTGTTTTATCCAAAGAATGATTGAAGAGGAAATTATGAGGTAAATTTTTGTTGAAATATTTGTGATAGTGGTTGAATAGTCTAATGACGTACTAAAGAAAGGCGATATGGATTATTAGTATCGGACACGTACGTATATGTAAAGAGGTGAAAAAAGTGGTCCAGAATCGTAATTAATGGAATCCTTACTTTTACTGTTTTTTCTTGTATATCTTGTTATTTATATATTTGTGTCATAAAATAAAAAAAAATGTATTGTTTTTCCAGGTCACGTACAATGAAATATTAACAAAGAGAATATAACAAACATAAGTTTTAAAAGAACGTTTTGATGAAATCAATTATAAAAGTATTTAGTAATAAAATTTTACGAAGAATTAATGAAAAAAATTAAATTGAATCTTAACCGGCGAAAAGATTACGAAGTCTGCAAAATCTTCTTGTATTAACTAATTAAACTTTTAAATTGATTAATTAATTAGCTCCAATCTAAGACTAAGTCTGTTCTTGGATTAATTTTGCTACTTACAGAAAAGACTCGATGTCAACAATTTAGATAAAACTTATTTTATTTTTATCAATCTAAATGTTTGGCTTCATTTTTCGTATTGTATTCTCTCTGAGTGTTGTTGTTTGGTATTCGATTAATATGTGGAATATGATATCTGATTATTTTAATAATGAATTTAGCAAATTAATTGTCAATAGTTCTGATGTTAATGAAAACGAAGGATAACATAATGTAACCATTTATATTGCTTCTAAAATTCTAATTAATATTGTAATTTAACAGTGGTAGAGTCCGCTTTAACATCTTCGCACGAATCGGCCCGGTTCGCCTGGTGAAATACCACGACCACACAGAAGACAGGCGTGAAGTGGAAGCAATTCCGCGTTTCGTCTGATGAGTGTGCGTCCCGGTGGCCTTATTTAGTCCACTTTCCCTTCCCATACTTTTCTTTATAAGGAAAGGATGGGAAGTGGACTTTCCGGATGAGAGGATGCATGGAAAGGGATGATCTTTTCTTTCTGTGCATCCTCTCCTCCGTCGATTAAAGGTAGGCAACGCATATTCAATTACGTATGTCTATGGGCAACGGTCACTTCGCTATTTCAGCGATTTCAGGTGGCCGCTCGCTCGTTTGCCACCATATGTTATAAAAAATAATAATAATAATATATTTTAATAGGCAATTATTAAACATGTAATAATTGATAATAGTTTACGTAATCCCAAATATATCTATTAAATGGATCAGTTTAACTAATGTAATCCTTGTTGAGCCTCAGTTGTAATAGTTATGTGCGCGTCTATCATAAATTAATTGAAAGACGCAACATTTAGACGTGTAATTAATAACAAACGATATATTTTTTGCAGAAAATAACTTACCTTATAGAACCAGACACATTGAATATAGGATAATAAAAAAATGTGTAAACGAATCCTATTTCTTACTAATATTATTAATTCGAAAGTTTATATGGATGGATCGATGGATGTTTGAAGGTATCTTTTTTATATCATTAGGTGGCAAACGAGCGAGCGGTCACCTGAAATCGCTGAAATAGCGAAATGACCGTTGCCCATAGACATACGCAATTGCAAAATCCGGAATGGCTCAACAGATTTTGATGAAATTTAACACACATGTAGAACAGTCTACTTATCCGCCAGACTGTCTTACTTCTGAACTTCGCGCTCTCAGAGTCGCGGGAGACAGTTATTCTAAAATAAGTGTAAGTTAAAAAGAAAAACCTTTATATAATATTTTTTTTACCTATTTTTGAGTCATTAAAAACATCAATCGCATTACTTTCTTTAAATACCTTATAATAACTTTTTGTAACAGATATTAGTAGCCAGCAACTCGCTTACACAAAAAGCAAAGGCTTTCTGGAAAGTAAAGCACTCGCACTGAATGTGTACTCACTCTTTACGAATTTCTAAGAGAATATTAAAAAGGATTC